TCCAGTGACTGCGATATCAAGAGGTACGTAAGTCATATCGTATGTGCTTCCTATTTTGCCTGCAGGCACGTCGTAGTCACATACGCGTTTGCAATTCTAAAAAATGTATTACAGTTGGGTTATTCAGGTGCTTAAAAGATTTGGATTTGTCATTTAAGAGATATGCAGTTCTTTAGAATTAGAGATTTATAGCCCATGCTAACATTGGATATACTTACAATTCGCCATAAGTAAACCAATTTGATAAACTAACCGGCTGTGAAGTCATGCAGCCGTGAGAAATGCGCAGGAATGGTTGTATGCTACCAACCTGAAATTTCATAGAGTTATCTGAAGTAACATCTCTTCTAGTGGGTTAAGATTAGTAGTTTACATACCTCGTCTTCCTCTCCAAATATCTTAAACTCTCCCTCAGCATTAGTGTATGTGCTAGCCAATAGATCATTAGGATCCACTAAATTTTCACAGTTATTTATGCTGAAAAAGTGCTACTTGCTGTACTTACGTGTGTCCCTCTCGTAAAGTTCTACTTGAACATTGGGCATTCGCTTCTTATGGCATAGGGCTGTGCCTGTTACGGTAACATTTTGCATTACAGCCATGACGGAGCTGTAGCAAATCCCAACGAGGATAAGAAGTACAAAGGAGCGCATGATCTAAACGGCAAGATTCATGCATTTAAGAAAGACTCAATGAAGTATACAAATAAACAGTGAAAGCTGAGTTATCCACTACTACTAAGGTAGAGCAATGCCAAATTTGAAGTATGCAATATTTGATGTAACCCTGAACGAGCACCGAGTAGAGGGAGATGGGCAAATCTTGTTGCTATGGCGAGATATACTGAGAGCAGCTGTTTGATAGCATGACAACAACAACAACAAAATCTACACATGACAGCAGCTGATAATTGCTGCGAAAACACAGGATTTTGTACAGTTGATCGTTGATGTTTGTTGCAGATTGCAGAATAAGAGATCTGCCTGATCCAGGCATTTGAAATTTGAG